TCCCACCACTGGGCTGGTGGAGCTGCTCGGAGCACAGCCCTGGCTCTCCCCCACCACCGGGCTGCTTCGAAACTTGAAAAGTTTCAAAACTTTTGAAACATTTTGAATGCCTTCATTTTGTTTTGAAACTGTTTCAAAGCCTTTGTTTCGTTTCGATTTTGCTGTTTCGAGCTCAAAACGTGTCGGAACAGCTTCGAAATGAAACGCCCATCGAAATTTTGAACAGTCCTAATTTTTATCCTAATTCTAAACACAGGAACAACTGGATTTAGTACCTGTTTTGTTCTTCTCCCTCTTGAGTGTCTAATGACTTAATTTAAGTGGCTCCTTTTGGTGTCTGCCTTGTATTTATGCTTATTCTGGTGGATTTGCTCCTGGACAGATTAATCTGCTTGATTCTGCATTTTACGTCAGAAGAGAACAGAGAGGAAAACTTGTGCAGGCATCTACAACAGACACTGCCCAGTTTGCTTATGGTAATCCCGCTACTTAGCAAGAGGGAGAACCTTGTCCTACCCCATCATGGCCCATCTATCAGTGTGCAGAACTGTATTGCACTCCGAGGTATTTTGGTCCTAACCAGCACTAGGCCTTTTTTAGTAAAAGTGGAATGATTCCCAGCTCTGAACCTTTGCACTTCAAGGCCTGACTCTGAGCTATATTCTACTGTGTCTCCCCTGTTGCATTTGCCTCAGCTTTGAGAGCACCTCATTGACACCAGCTAGATTTGCTGGCACAGAGAGATAAGTAGAGATTGCTAGATTGTAATCAAGCAGGATTTTGGAAATCAAGAATAGGACACCCCAAGAAGTGCTGTGGGCCACACCTCGTTCCACCCTTTGCTGATTCAACCACATCCTCCACCTTCACAAAAATCCACCCCATGTTAACCAAAGAATCAAGATCTCCGGTATCACTTCACAGTTGCACTATCCATGTGACAGCTCAGTAAGTGATGAGAAGAGAAACATCTGACTGATGACTGCTGTATTTAAACCCAATTTCCCCCCAAAATTATGTTCTTCTTTAGTGTCAACAGGAGTTATTTGCAGATGGCCTGAAGGAACAGCGAGCAATTAATGTACATGCTAACAGTTATGTTGGTTGAAGGATTCTTCCCTTTCTACACTAGAAGTGTTGTAGGGTTGTTATAGGCAAGATGAACCATGGAATGTGTGAGGGGCAGGATTTACTTAGTAGTATCTTCTACTGGGCCAACTTTTTAGATGACAGTAGTGTTGGAGTAGCTTCTAGACGCAACATATCTTTCTTCAGATCTGTGAAGAAGCACTGTGTGCCCACAAGCTTGTCCAACACCTCTCCCACCTACAAAGCTTATCCAATAAAAGTTATCAAACTGTATCCAGCTTCTCTCATGGTAAGTTAGGATGTCAACTTCCTGGGAGACCCCTATATCACAGCTACTTCCTGATGGAACAATACGCAAACAGCATGTAATCCTTGACCAGGTTCTTGACATGAGCAGTGCAAAGATCATTGATGTGGTTTACAGTAAACTAGGCATATTTAGAAGTAAGAGAAAAAAATTGCAATATATACAGAATTGTAGGTGGCAGCTGCCTAACATCATCCCTGTAAAGTTGGTTTTAACTAGCTCAGGTCAGCTCCCTCATTATCCCAACCCACAGTTACATAGGGCATGAATTATCCCAAACGTACCAGAATCCTACAACAGTTTCTTAAACAGTTTGCTCAATGAGAAAGGAAAGGATCCACATGTCCAGTCCCAGCATGAGAACAGCCCACCCCGCGCTGCACACAGTATCATCAGCTTGCACAAAGCCAAACAAAGACCAGGAGGAAATTGCACATATAAACAAATGCAAAGCCTGCTGGATTATAAAGCTCTACATACCAAGGGCCACATGGCTTCAAAAGGGCCACAAGGCTCTGTCCCTCATTTTAAAAGCAGGATGTTATTTTTCCATCTCTCTTCTAATTACATGCCAAAGTCTCTCTTCTCTCCCCTCCCCTCCCTCAAGACTACACAGGCCCGGGCAGCCTTGTTATTCAGAAGATATTCAGAATAACCCTTGTTATTCAGAAGATTAAAGCTGCCTGTCAGAGGAAGAGAGATGCAGGTGAGCAGCAGGGGCAGAAGGAGCCTTGAGCAGAGTCCTGCCACCATGTATCCAGCCACAGCTCCAGTATTTCTGGCATTCCCCTCCCAGGAGAAGAGTGACATTGGCAGGACTGTGACAGCAAAGAAACTAATCCATGTCTATTTTGCATTGCCTATGACTTGAAGACCATGATGGACACCAGATGGTTTATAGGCACAAGCAGCTTCAGGAAGCAACAGGTGTGTTGATTTATAGCAGAGACATATTTAGAACAGGGATGCTCAATCTCCGGCTTGCAGGCCAAATCCAGGCTGCAACCCTGTGTCCTCTGGCCTGCAGTGCTTCTCATAGGTCCAGTAATTTGGTGGTAGGAAGGCGGTGGCACTGCTTTCTCACTGCCAAATTTCCAGGCCCATGGGGAGCCCCAAGCCCTATGAACTGGATTTTGTTGCACACAGCTGTGCAGGGGCAGCGCTGGACCCCAGGGCCCAATCCCAGCACACAGGTGCTGGAGGAAGCAGTACCAGGCCCAGGGGGACCAAGCCTGGCATGACAGGGGAAGAGGGGCAAAGAAGCAGTGCCAGGCCCCAGGGCCCAATCCTGACACACAGGGCTTGATTCAGCCTGAAGACCAGCCCTGCCCCACTCCTCCACCCCACAGGATCAAAAGGCTGAGCAGCACTAACTTAGAACATAACCATTAAAAAAAATTAAGACCTAGGATTTTTGTGGGTCTTTTTCTTTCAAAGAAAGAGTCTGTTCTGAAGATAGATGGGAAACTTTTAGCATCCATCTTTTCCTATTGGGGTCCATCTCAATAATATCTGAGCAGCAGTCAGAAATAAGAAGGACATGAGTTTTTCCCTGCCCCCCTGAAGCAAGAGGCAAAGTAAGGGCTAGTTCAAGTGACAGGGCAGAAGAGTAGGCATGTGGCTCTGAGGCAGCTAACAGCCATGGAAAAGCTTGGGTAAAAAGGCAGATCTTGTGTGTAGCCCCCAGTGTGGGCAGGCTGAGATCCTCTTTTCTATTTCAAGGGTTTAAGTGAAAGCTTCTCCACTACTGCTGGAGTAGGGATGGAGTGTTATTGTAGCTGCAACAGTCCAGGAAACATGCAAGAAGCAAGATGTTTTGGTGGTATATTTTGGTGGACCAACAGCACAGTTGGGAGAGATGCTAGACAAGCTTTTGGACACAAAGTGCCCTTCTTCAGCATCCTTCCCAATGAAACACTCCAATAAAAGATACCCCCACAAAAGCTTGCTTGTTGGGATAAGCAGTTTCATTGTACAATGAAATGGCTGGAGGGAGAGATGTTATCTCTGGTATCCAGAACCATTTCCATTCAGGGTTGAGGAAGATCTGGACAGAGATCTTGAAAGGGGATTTTGCATTATTAGAGAACCAGTAAAATCAGGATCAATTTCCCACTTGCCAATGGTTAGCAGATACACGAAGGTCTGCAAATTAAAGCACCATTCCTGCTACATGCATCATTTAATAGGATCCCATTTCACACTTGTACAACTCCTTTTGATCACAGATCTCATTTTACTTCACCAAGGTAGGCATCATAACCAACTCATTCTGCAAACACCCTCAGGCAACACCCCAAAACAAAACCCAGAGTGCATGGCTCTCAGCCCCGCATCTCACCTGACAGTTCCCAGACTTGCAGTCCCATACTCTTGCCACTCAGGCCAACATCTGCACGAATGCTTCTGCAACTTAAACCATCTCCAAGGCAGACTCGCAGGACTTAATGCAATCAAGCACAGGGGTGGATACAGCTTGTACAGAAGACTTGGTACGCTGTACAACTCTAAGCTGTCTAACGTGTTTATCATCACATCTTAAGTCGCATGCAACAGCCAGAAGCGATTTTTTGTTTCTGCTGAGATGCTGCAATTCACTGGAACAGTTTGGCCTGGCTAGTCAAGTTTGCTGTCACAGCAAACAAAAAAGCTGGTCCATGTGCTGTTCTGAACTGGTCTGTGAGGGTGCTGTGGGCAGGGCAGGGCAGGTTTTCCCATCATGAAGAAGCAGTAGGCTGAGATTTCTGATATGCAGATAGAGGAACCCAGACATGACAATGCAGGAGCAGGTGCATACTACCTCGACAATGTTTTGCTTTGGGATGACTCACCAGCAAGGCTGCAGCCAATAAGCAGAAGCAGATGCTACTCTTCGTAGTGACAAATATAACAGGGGCTGATTGCATTGTTCATGACTGGGAAGGGGAAGGTTACTGAGAACTTGAGGAATATTCCAATCTGGCTAAAGAAATTGCCATAGCAGTTTTTCACTGGGGATGCGGAGGGCTTTGGCAGGTCCTAAAGCCAACAGAGTGACAATTTGTAGGTCTTTATGCTCTCTTTTGGCAACCCAGGTGAAAAAGCACAGCTCAGTCTAAGAGGACGGGAAGTTCTTAGAGAAGGATAAGAAGAAAAAAAAATAAATGAAAAAGGCAGCAGAAAAAAGGACCAGCAAAATATGCCCATATCTCAGACGTCATTCTGTGGTTTGGAGGAGGATATGATCAGCTTGAAGATTCACAGGAGGAGCTGAAAGTAGTTTCAGGTGTTCTGCCTATCCCCCAGGGCTTTTCCCATCTTTTGTGCATTTCCACCCACATTTTCCTGTTTGTTACAGTTGCTCACCCTCCCCTCCTTGTGCCCTTTGTAAGTTTTTCCATACACTGGGGATACAAAGAAAGAGATGAATGCACATAAGGCTGGTTAATGCAGAGAATTAACTAAAAAGATGAAATAGCTGCTTCATCTTTCAGTTGTTAGTGTGGGGATCATGATAAACTGCTGTAGATTAAAAATCCCTTTCAGAAGAACAGGGAAATAGGATTTATAAGACCAAGTTCCTTTAGCAGCTACCAGTTACAGTAATTTTACAAGCACAACTTACCTCAATTTGGAAGAGCTCCCCACCACCTTCACAGTCATTTGATGTAATGACAGGAGTATGGATGTGCACATAGCCATTCTCCTGAAAGAGAGAGGACGTGGAAGGGTTGCCAATCCAGAAAATGTCAAATCAAAGGAGGATTTCAACAGGCACAAATCAGGATATGCCTACACCTGTCCAGAACCAACATCATACACACCATTTTAGGGCAGCACTGTCCATCTTCTCAATGGATGGGGAGCCACATGACCCCTGGACCACAAGCAACATGGGCCACATGCAGCACTGTACAGACCTTGCCACTGAGCTGCATAGAGGCCCCATGTCCCCAGGGTGCAGGCCCTCTGGGTCCTGCAAGTTGCACTCTGAAGCAATCTGTGGCATGGTTAACCATTAGCTAGATTTGTAAGCATCTGTATTTAATGCACGTTTTTTCATGCATGCATGCATTGTCACTCTAGGGTAAATCCTGTCCCTGAAGAGGGATGCCGCTTGTGTTATTCTGTTGTAGAAGCAGAGGGTAACCAAGTCTCCATGCAGTCAGGCTTTTAAATAGAAGAAGTCTGACTGTAAAGCAACTTTGAAAAATAAAGTAGCTTTGACCAGGCTGCAAAGCAAGGCAGTGGCAGAGCTGGGAGCAGAACGCTCAATACCTCTGGACTGCCAAAATCCTAGAAAGACATATGTTTGGCTTGAAAGCTTCAGGCAACTCAGGTGAATGAAACTCTAGGAGCAGCACATTTTGACTGTAAGCAGCAGGAACTGATCTTCTTGTGCATCTCAGAGTTGCAGAAAAACGGGTCTTGAAAGGAGCTCAGGGGGTCACTCTAGTCCAACCCTCTGCTCAAGGCAGGATCATCCCTGTCTAAACCACTCCAGCCAAATGCCTGTCTACCTCACACTGAAAAACCTTCCAGTGACAGCTTCTATGGCCTCTCTAGGTCATTTGTTCCAGGGCTGAACCACTCTCGGCATTCACAAATTCTTCCTAGTAGTTAACCTAAATCTCCGTGGTTGCAACGTAAGCCCATTACTTCTTGTTCTGAGCTCAGTGGACACAGAACTATTAACTCTTTATAACAACCTTTTCTGTATTTGAAGACTGACTCCGGCAGTGCCTGGCACAAAGGGAACACAGCTGTGATGGAGGCCTCCTGGCACTAACAACGCCCACGCCATGCTACTGTTAGTGCTTTAGACATATAAAAGGTACTAGGTTTCTTTAACAATATCAACATAGCCTCCCTGACGGAGGGAGCAGAAATGCCCCCTTGCTCCAGGGATAAGTCCTAGCTCTTAGCTGATGTGATGACAGCTCCACAGCAAGGCCAGCCATGCTGTCTTAGGGAGGACCCCTGACCCCCACAGCAGTGCTGGCAGATGCCCCATGTGTACCTGCAGTTATGTTGGCAAAATGATGCTTTACCACTACACCCAGCATTGCTGGTGGCAGAAGGAGGGGGAAGGGTTTGAATCCATCAGTACAAGATGCAGGCTTGCCATGCTGGCAGAATTCATACGAGAAACGCCCTCCTGGCATACTTTATCCCAGTTAAGTGTGCTTAATAGAAAGAAAGCCTAATTTAGGGCAACTGCTACCATGATATTGCTATTTCATGTGGCAGACTGCCCCCCTGCTTGAAGAAGGACCCTGACAGTAGGGGTCATTGCAGGAAGCCAGGAGTCCATCTGCCATGGAAAGGTCTGGGATGGTTCCCATTATAAAGCCATGAAGCAAATGGTGAGGGGGGCAGCACAGACTCTAATGTGAACCTGCATCAGTTCAGAGTGGTGCATGGTGGACATTCATGCTGCAGTTGTCTCACTGTTCCTAGGAACACAGCCCTCAAGATGAGCAGGGATATTTATACGGCACCAATACTGGAATAGTTAAGAAAAAGACTTAAAGATGGCATGGGACCATCAACTTTGTACCATTAAAATGCCCTACTTCTACTTTTGCACTCCTGTACGTTAGCACAACATTGCAAATCTGGATTACAAATACTGCGTGAGAAGTTCTCGTTTCTTTTAAAAAGAAACACTTCCCACTGTGTCAAAATTACATAATGGGCACATTAGATATTGCCAACCCCCACAACCAAATATTAAATCTGGGACCAAATCTGAATTTACACCGTCTCCAAGAATCCCTTTAGGTCTAGTTAAGCTTCTAAAATAAAAGCACAATTTTAACAGAATACTTTACATCAGAATTTTAGAAATCCCACCCCACACATGCTCTTGCTCAGTGGTTCTCAAACATTTGGGACTTCTTTGCAGTTTGTTAGGCTGCTGGGTACCCCTACAACTGTGTTACAGGTAACAAAAGACTGCACTTTATATCACTATACCCACACTGCACCCTCTCCCACAGCCTGGGACATATGGAGAGCTGCTCTTCATTTTTTCCTTTCCCCTCTCTTTTCCCCATTTCTTTCCTCTCCCGCTGCATATCCCCAGTACTGCACATAACCTAGCTTAAGAAACACTGGCTTCCTTCAAAACAGAATTAATTCAGTGAAGTCATATGCACTGTAGTGTGCAAATGCTCAGACTAGATTACACAGCCAGAAGAAATAACTGTAATAATCTAACGACGAACACACACACTTCACATTGATTGGAATGAAAACTATTTGATGTAATAGCATTTGTTAGTCTGTCAGAATGTTATTCTTCCATTTCTAATTATTAGAACACTTATTACTGTTCTTTACTACCTGTTTCAGGGTGAATTTTAGTATCTCTCTCTCTTTGCTAACATCTGAAATTAAAATGTTGTAGATACTACCACCAAGTGGTCACACACAAGAACTGATTTAAATCAGATTAGGTATCCAGGTTGTAGCTGTATTGGTCTAGAGGAAAAGGCAATCAGGACTCACAGTAGCGATGATATCTTTTATTAGACCAACATTTTTGCAAAAAATAATTCTTGCAATTAAAGACATTTTTTTGCAAAAATCTTGTCAGTCTAATGAAAGATCATTTCTACTATGAGTTCTGATTGACTTAAATCAGATTATACATTAACCATTGGTACAATGTGGAAGCCCCGGGCATTTTTACATGTGCAAGCACTGCAGTGCCGGGCGCTTTGAAAACTGCCTGGTGCTGCGACACAACCAGTTGTATAAAACTGGCAAAACGTGCGTCAGCGCAAAGAAAATGGTGGCGTTGCACTTTTGAATAAAAACACCTTGGAAGTGCTTCAGTTCAAAAGAATTTCTACCGGGAGAGTGGCGATTGCCCTGGTTGGAATGTAACACCTGTACATGGCCTTGGTCACCTCAGTCTATGGGAAGATCCACCATGGGGATGCGCCCTTAGAGGTGTGGCAGCCGCACAGTGACAAATGTGCATTGCGCACAGAGCTGAAGGGGATGTGGCTGCAGCCCCTCACTATGACCCTGGATGCCAGTGGGGTCTCAGCAGCTCAGTCTGGGAGCTCCATGTGTGCTGTGAGCTTGGAGCTCACCAGGGCACAGTCTGCCCAGAGTGCCTACTTTGAAGCAACTCCAGATGCTGCTGCTCTTTGCTCCTCCACCCCCTTTCCCCTTCCCAAATTCAGCAGTAGAGAAAGGAGGAGACTGGAGGAGCAGCTGCGGTGCTGAGTCTTCAGACCTGAGTGCAAGCAGGGATTGCATGTTGCTAGCTCCTCCTCCTCTTTTGCTGAATTCAGGGGACAGTGAAGAGCAGCAGGCTCTGAAGCTGCTAGAAAGCAGCAGAGCTTGTGCCAACCAGCGGTGAGCTCACAGAGCTCGTGGCACATGCAGAGCTCCCAGCAAGAGCTGTGCCAAAGTGCCGGTGAGCTCCAAATGCTCACTGTGCATGCAGGGCACAGTCAAAAGCGAGGGCAACCATGCCACCAGACCACCTCTGGATCTGCCCCTCCCTAAACATCAGGCATGGAACACCAAGGATCCCTGCAACTGGAAGTTCAAATCCCAGGAGATCTCCCCCATCCTTTTGCGATAATAAATTCAATAACAACTGGACCCAGAGAAAGAAGTCTGTTTAAAGAAAGGGTTTAAAAAGGAGAGGTGGTAACTTAAGAAGAGTTCAAGGGCACAGAGGGCCTTTTCCACTCTTTAAAGAAGTAGGGCTGATCAGAGGACAGGGTGAGGAATCAGGAACCAACACATTCTGTCCCAAACACTGTTGGCAACTACACGTCCCTAACAGCCTTATATTAAAAGAGGCATCTACCAAATCTGGAGACCCCAGCTTCTGGGTGCCCGGGTGGAGACAATGAGGGTTGTCTTCCAGAGGTGCCAAGCACTCACCATACAGTGAGGGGTCAGGTGAGGATGCAAAGAATGGCATGTCCCAGCAAAACGGCACTGACTGCTAAGGAGGAACAACCAAAGAGCGTCCTTCATTAGCACAGTGTTTAGCAATTTGACTGTCAGCTTTGCAAACTGCTCCTCTACCCAAGCTCACAGGGAAGCACAGTGACATCTCTCTGTTGGGCTGCAAAGTACCTCAGGGAGCGAGTGAAACGGCTACTTCTTACTTTTTCCATTTTCTGCTTTTAAATTGGCCTGTTGACTGCTCTCTTGAATCTTAGCTTGGTTTTCTAGGTTCACAGTTCACCCAGAGATGAGCCAAATTTTTTATTATTAGCCAAAAGCTCCAGTTGAAGGCAACAGTATCACATACCAACCAGAAACCACAAGAATTAGTCTGTCATTTATTCAGATGGTTTCCATTCTCTTTGATGCAAGCTTCTATCTACCCTGATGGTTACTGGATGGCAGATGTTAATGAGAAATGTGAGGTAGCTGCCATGTCATATGACAGCCTGTGGGGCAGGACATATCTAGCCTGCAATCTAGATGAGCAGTCTGTGCCAGCCAAAAAGCTACCTCCAGGTCCAGTCCAAGAAACCGAGGAGTCTGCCCTCGTTAGCAGCTATACCCAGGCCTAGCTTCTGGGGTTACACAGAGAGATTTGAACAGAATTCAAACAAGACCGTGGTGAGAGTCACAGAGCAAATCAGGGACAAACTTGAAGACAGTCCTGACCCCACCTTTCCCTGGACACTACAGCATAATACTCCCTCCTCAACTCTAGCTATATCACACCACTGTCTGTACAAACAGCAATGGAGAAATAAGATCCAGAAGCAGTCACCTGGAAAAATGAGTGGATTGCAGCAGTTGCTTCACTTCGTACCCTCAGGAGGGACCTCAGTGTGTTGGTCCTACACCGCAAGTGAGGGAACTGCCGGGTGTATTCCAAAGGGTGCTTCTCCCTTGGTTTGAAAGGGAACGTCTAAGGAAAAGACAAGGGGGGAAGGGGAAAGAACAGAAAAAGATGAGAACCTGAAACAAATAAAACTTAAGTGACATCTGTAGAACAGCAAAAATTCAGAAAGGGACAAGTCAATCAGAGGAAAAATGGAATTTTTTTTGCTATTCTTTCTAGTTTATTCTTTTTTTTTTTTGGATCTCCATGTAACCTGCAAATTAAGCCTTCCTAAACTGCAGGATGCTGGAAGCTCTGGAGTAGCAATTTTCAGCCAGGGTGCTATGAGATCCTTTTCAGGGTGCTTTAGGGTGTCGCTTAACATTAGCACTGTGGGGTGTGCAAACACCTGCATGAGATTCACAAGATAAACCCTGAGATCTCAAACAGAAATCCATAACGTCAAAAACCTTCTAACTTACCATGGGCTTCCTGAGTTCTCTGCAGCAGCAGAACTGCTTTAATATCTTTCCATAGTCAAGAAACAACTGAAAGCTACGAGCTGGCATTCTTTGAGGGGGCCCTTGAGTCTAAAAAGGTTAGGACCCACTGGTTTAGAGTGAGAGGATCAAGGGAATAGATCAGTTTAGATGCATGTTGCTTAAACACTCTTCCCCTTAACATTCATTCTGCCACTGAGATACAGGGCTACTTGCTATACAGACAGTGGGCCTTGACCCACAGGGAAACTACAAGCCTCACTGAGTGGTTAGAGGGAGGCCACTAAGTGTATGGCAACTAAATGGTTGGCCCAAAGGATTAAAAAAAAAAAAAAAAAGCAGTAACAGGAGTGCAGGTCATAGGTTGATAACTAGGGCTTCCAGGGAGGAAGACACCAAGCAGAGAACACCAGCAACTGCCCACTGCCTTTTGAACATGTCTGAGGAGCCTGTGGATGCCACCCAGTGAAACTCTACCTGGAGACCTACCTGCATGGATGAATGACAGAAAAGAGAGCTCCACAGTCACCTGGATTCCCCCTGCCCAATGCTTGTGAGATACTGAGCATGTCTACACATGCTATCAACGGGCCATGAAAAAATATAGCAGTTTGCACAGGAATCAGCTGCTTCTGGGTGCAGTGTCTTCGCTTGCACCCAGGCACACATGAAGATGCTGCACCCGGGAGTAACTGATCCAGAGCAAGAAGTCAGGGGGATCAGCCCTGGGTGGTGGCGTTGGGGCTGGCTGGGGCATGAAGGTGCTACAGTGCAGGGCTAGCTGGCAGGGAGCCCCTACACTGTAGTACCCTCGTGCCCCAGGTAGCCCCAGTCACAGTCTACACGTGTTTGATTGCACACAAGTAGTCCACCGTAAGACAATACTTGTCTCGGGCAGTACTATCCTATGGCGAAATTAATAAGCTTACTGCACCCTAACAGGGGTGCACACATAGACTCTGACACTTTACTGTAAAGCTAATTAGTAAACTCCATGTTGGCAATAAAACGCATGTGTAACACTCCCACAGAATACTAGGTTCGACAGTCCTGTGGTCTGACCCAGTACAGCGTTTTTTGTTTTATAGCTCCCTGGGCCAGAGCGAGAGTAAAACACAAGTAGGAGATGCTGGCCCTGTCCAGAAGGCGCTCAGATACTGCTGCAATGAGCAGATCAGACACAGGATAAAGTCAGAATTGCAGAAAGGCTCAGCACACTGGATGCTGAGAAAACCTAGATGCTGAGATATGTGGGTTTTTTTTGCAAATCCAGCTCTTTCTATGCAGTCAGTTTCCTGTTTCCTCTGTGTACCTGTCTATTTGTTCCTTAATGAGAAGGCCCTTGTACAGATCAACACAGGAAGTAAAAAATCCCACAGAACCATTGAAAAGCAGTTTAAAAAAAATAATAGGAAATGCACTGTGAAGCATGCTTTAGGCATTAGAAGACTTGGAAACTGGTTTCTCCAAAAGAAAGCCTGCTTGCTTAACTGAGAAATGCGGCCACATACCAGAGTATCACAGGGTCCCACCACATGGATATTTTCAGCTTTTAGCTCCACATTCTGCTTTTGATGAAGGCTTTTCAGCAGCTTCCCTTGCACTTCCACAGCACTTCCGAAGGTCAAATCTCTAAGGGAGAAACAACATTATCAAGACACACCGAATCATAGAAAAGTAGGACTGAATGGGACCCCACACGGTCATCTAATCTAACACCTGCTGAAGGCAGGATCATCCCTGTTTGAACCCATCTAAGAATCTGTACTGGCTTTCTTAAATTTAAAAGATGTAAAACAATAATGTCCTGTATCAAGGGCAGGCTCCTCATACAGGCCTGCCCCTGGTTAAATGAAGGCTTCCCCTAGGTTTCACAGTAGTTCCAACTTTGGCCCCAGTTTCTCTTCAGAAGGATCTTGGGATGTTCTGCCTTCATCACATCACCTTTTGTGCCCACCCCCAGGCAGAGATATTCACAGCATCTACTGCAAGAGGCAGGACGAGGCTGGAGACCCAGTAAAGGAGAGGCTCGAATGGAAGCACCACATCCTGGCTGTACACAGCCTGCCTAATTCAGGAGAAGGGGAAGACTGTGTGATGGTGGATGCTAAGGCATAGAAAAGCATCAGCCCCCTGGCACTGTGTCACAGACAACAATGGAGCCAAGATTTCACCCTGAAAGTAACATCTTATTTATGTTTCCTTCAGAAACACTCAGCCCAGCTCCTTCCTGACCCTAAGGCAGTGGTTCTCAACCTGTTTTGTAGCAGGACCCATCTGTAAACATGGATGGCCAGTCCCAACCCAGTGGCCCTCACTCCCAAGCCACTGCTCCCCTGCTCCCAGCTCCCCATTGTGTGGGTGAACCCCAAGCAGCACCTTGCAGGCTGGAGCTCTGCCAGCTTGCAAGGGAAAAGCCGTGGTTTCCCACATTTTTCTCCTTTAAAAGAGGATTCATTTTTAAAGTTTGTTTGCAAACCTTTCATATCTTTTTGCAACCCACTTTTGAGTCGCGACTTATGGGTTGAGAAACGCTACCCAAAGGGATACTCCTGAAAGACCCTACTCCTGCTGCTGGATCCCTTCCCAGAGGTCTGATGAGGTGCAAGCAGAAGGCAGGGGCCTTGGCCAGATCAATTAGAACCAGCTCCAAAAAAAAAAAAAAAAAAAAAGAACTGCAGGGAACTTTCTTTAAGTCCATCAAATCCACAAACCTATATTCCAAGCTTGGGTCAGCAACAACCTGGAGGCTTTCCAGCGAACTCCCGTCATTTATATGCAGAAACAAAACTTCTTTCTGGGAACGCACAGAACGGACCCAGCCCTGGAGGGAGAAGGAAAATAAAACTGGTTATTGTCTGCTATACCAACCCAGGTGGTTATGCTCATGCACCAGCCAAGCTGGACAAGTCTTCTCGGGCTCATTCTGGCTCCCATAGAAAGCTGTGAATACATTCCCTCAGGGCCTGGTCCCAATTCATTAAGATTAGTCTCAGCTTTGCTACTGTCGTCAAAGCAAGCAGAGGCAGATCTGCAGGCGCAAAGACCAACCAACTTCCTTGTCGATGTGGCACAAACTTGCTTCTCTTGGAAGCTGCAAAGACTGAAATCGGCAATGCATTTGAGAGTTGGAAAGTGCCCTATACTTTTTAAATACAATTATTATGCCCCTTACAACAAAGATTGTGCATTGCAGCTAGACATACCAAGGGAATGCAATTCATTTAAACAAAACTGGCAAGGTCATTCTGATGGGAAGCCTATAACTGAAATCTGTTTCCCAATAGCTTATTGATCTCCTCTGCCGTGTGGAAGTACGGTAGACCCTGAATAATTCACAGGGCGCTGTTCCTTACCCCCTGCGAAGAAGAGGTTTGTGAACCAGTTGGGGGTATGCATAGCAGTGGACAACAGGACTGCGAAGGTGCTCCGGTTGCTTGCTCTGGCTTTTACCTGGAAGGGTGCTGCGTCTCCAATCGGCAACACAGGGCTGCTAAGGTGCTTCAGCAAATTTGAGGAGCAGCACCCATGGAAGTAAAAACTGCAGCCAATGCTTGAGCAACTTGCTCTTCAACTAACAACTTGCTGCGAAGTCAGCAGACAGACCACCCAAATGCAAACAAGTTGGGTTCACCTGTACTGCTTTAATTAATTAAAAAGTGGGGGGGAAGAGATTAAAAAAAAGAACTTTATTATACAAATATTAAAAACAAATGATGCAAGTGCAAACGTGTGTGACCCTTCCAGGGGCTGAGCACGAAACTCTTGTTAGCAACAAAAAACACCGTATCATCAGAGACTGAAACCCCATGCACTACAGCCCCACACATGTAGGACGAGCTGTCTGTCCTGTACCACACAGAGGGCTCCTGGATGGTCCAGCGCAACACAAACTGGTTCACCGTTTGCTGCAAAAAGGAGTGTCCGAATTCAAATGAGACAGAGAGAGGAAGGAGAGAGAAGGCAGTGTCTAATAAACTGGGTCTACAACTTCGGTTTGGCTGAAGGGAAAAAATAAAAAAGAGCAAAAGAAAGGAGTTATAACCAATCAATAGATGCGATTCACTTTCTGGGCATTTCTTTTAAGACTTTCATATTAAAGCAGCTTTCTAATGAAATTTAGAACCCTTCCCCCACCCCCCCAAGGAAAGCTGCTTCAGTCTGAAATGTTACTTGGTATTGCTAAAAATGTGTGATGTCTAAATACAAAAAATTTAAAGGAACACTTTTCTAGTTAGTTTGTTTTTTGTGCAGTCCACAGCACTTTGCTCACAGTCAAGTCAAGTTTTCCTTGTGTAGCTGGGTAAAATGTTCCTGTTTGTCAGCAATTCTCTAAAGGGAATAGAAATTCCTCTTCATTTAAAAAGGAAAGAAGAGTGATTTTAAATGATAAGAGGTAGCCAAGGAACACAGGCACCGTGTTGCTCTCCCTCAGTACCTCTAATGAATGGTTTCTCACTCATATTTTTTGGTCAGTGGTGCCTTTGAACACTTCAGCTGAAATGATCGCGACTCTTTTGCATAGCACTGCCACACAAGAACCATAAAGTCATGTTGTCTAGAAACAAATGTGGGCCCAAATTCTGCCAACACTTATGCCCCTGCTTCCATTAATGCATCTGAACAGTCTTAACAACATCAAGCAGGGCAGACACGTTTGCAGGGTCTGGACCTTGGAAATAAATATATAATAGTTTAGATGGTGGTGGGGAGGGGCAACCTGCAGCATGTGTGCTACAAGGGGCAGGGGCAGCCTCTGTGCATGGCACATGGCAGATCGGGGAGGCAGCAGGCAGCACAGCAGCAGATAATGCAGGAAGGAGAAAGCAGAACAACAGATTAGGCAAGGTGCACAGGGCAAGGAGCTGAAAGCAAAGCAACAGGTTCAGAAGGGGAAGGGGATCAGAGCAGTTATCAGAGAGGACCTGGAGCTTAATTTGTGGCACATCTGTGGACCCCACTGGTCTAGATTCATGGTCCAGGATGAATGACCTGTAAGAGTTATGCGAGAGGCAAAGATTTCTTAAGAGGATTTTTTTTATCTTTTTAATTTCTGGACCATCATGGCTACAACACATCACTTCTTTACTATTGTAAGAGTTAATCATCACATCTTGCTGGGGGTCATCTGATCCCAGCAGTCTTTCCTGCCTAAGTGCAGGGGAGCTGGACCTGACGATCTGTAAGGTCCCTTCCAGCCTCTAACTATGAAAATATAAACTATGGAAGTATAACAAAACAAACTTGCACTAAAATAATCAACAATGCGATTAGCAACATAAGTTAGGAATGACGTGGACTCAGATTAAAACTCCAGGTAGCAATGCATGCAGACACTTAGGCTGTCAAATTCAGATAGGAGCTAACAGCTAAGAAACACCTCTGATTACAGTATTTGCCATAGACCTTATTCAGATTTTAAATCTTCATCTCAAGTCCATGCAGAAACATCAGCTGTCCTTTCTGAGCTCTAGTTGTCTACTGGACTAAAATATGCACGAACAGATACCTAATATTTGTGTCAAACTTGCTATGAAAGAGTAGCAGAGCCATAAACCTAACTCCTCCAGCTGCTCACCAAGACAATCACGCTGCCATGCCACCATCTTAAATGGTATTCCACACTTACATGCACTCCGTAGAGTGGTTCCTCTGAGATAGTCATAGTTTCACAGTTTCCAGGGTCGGAAGGGACCTGAACAGATCATCAAGTCTGACCCCTGCCTTGGGCAGGAACGAGTGCTGGGATCATCATACCCCAGCCAGATATCTATCCAACCTCCTCTTGAAGACCCCCAAGGTAGAGCAAAGCACCACCTCCCTTGGGAGCCCATTCCAGAGCCTGGCAGCCCTAACTGTAAAGTAATGCCTCCTGATATCAAGCCTGCTCCTGCTCTCAATCAATTTGTGGCAGTCATTCCTTGTTAACCCAGGTGGTGCCCGGGGGAATATTAGTCTATAGTAGCTACTGCTCAAGGGAGGAAAGGAGGCTAGACAGACCATTGGTGTGAACCACCTTGGCAGCTCTTGTGTTTCACAGATGGTAGGGGTTGGAAGGGGCACTTGGGCAGGAAAAACTGCTGGGATCAGGCCTCATCTCCATCCCAAGGCTGTGCCACCTATTGTATGCTGAAAAGATCACACCCCACATGACGTACCCCTGCTGCCAAACCCCCAGTGTGGACACAGCTTGGCCAACAAACCTTCTGTAGCCCATAGCAGCTGCTATAAAATGAGCAGCATGACAACTTGTCAGAGCGACGCGTCCATCGAGAAGGCTCTGCCAACACAGCGACAGCCTAGTCATGAAAACCGAGCCTAAGTGTGTTTAAAAGAGCATTTAGAACGTGTTTCCTTCCAATGGTTTTCAGGTCAGTCAAACATTTGCCGAAACTGTGACAGGTCATCTCTGTTTTGAAAGTCAATCACCCTAGCACTACAGGAAGCCCAGCATGTCGTATCAGATGCTGGGACAAGCAGAAATCACCCTCGCTGGTGACCACAGGAAAGACCATCTGCTCCAACAAACCAAGACCGGGAGGAACCATCATTCTGCCAAGCGTTTCTTCCTACCTCAGCAGGCTGTTCTGAAGTTCAGCTAGATCACGGGCTCAAGGCTGCATTTGCTGATGGAAATGGGAGCTTCAGCACAGATTTCTATGAATGCAGCAGGTGGCCCAGGGTCTTTATATGGCATCATGCATATGCAAAGTACATGCAAATTTCCAGCACTTTACAATTTTAACAGAGACAGAAGCATCCAACTGATAATCTTCCCCTGCCAAGGGTACTTACATCAGCACTCTCCTCAACTATCTCTCTCTCTACTCACCTACTCTTCCTTGCTCTCTTCACATGCCTTCCTTCTTATCATGCCCATACCATGGCCCTGACCCTATGTATTGCACACCCAGAACTCGCACAGCAAGTAATCCTCTCAATCACAAGGACAGTCAGCTTTGGAGCACACAGTCTCTTCATCTACTGCTTTAAGGCCAGCAGTTTTGCGTAAGCAGGTGACATTCTTTGCCCTTTTAGTGTATTAAGGATTTTTGTTTGTTCAGAATTACCTGCTGATGCTGCCTCAGTGTTCACATGCTATTTCATACCTCTTGTCTGAATGTCTAAGTTGTACTGCTTTAATTATACCAGTATGGTCCAGGAGTACAACTTCCATCTCCCCACAAGGCATGTACTATTGCATCGAGGTAAGATTGTTTTTACTGGCACACCCTCTTTTCCTGCTGCCAGAGTATATTAACCAGTATTGGAATACCAGCAAATGCCTCTAGCATGGACACTGCTATACAAGTAAAGCTGAACCATTATATTAGATCCTATCCCCCAAGCAGAAACAAATGGTAAAGGTTAAAGCACCAGACTGAATCTACACAATGGACTTTAGCTCGCAAAACTATTTCAATCTCACTTCTTCACACCCCCGACTGACTTCAGCGCGCTGGCAGACATCCTTAGTAACAACAGAGGAAGGAAAAGAAGCTAATCTAATATAAAGCATCTAAATAACAATAAAACTGCATCTCCACTAAGAGCTGTACTGAGATATCAATAAAGCACATCAAACCCCTAACCACTAGACTTGTACGAAAGCAAAAGAGGGGTGAATATTAGATTAAAAAGAAAAACTTTAGAAACAAGACGTAACAGCAGAAACCAGATTTTCCAGCCCAAAGGCACTCATGTGCTAGACACCATCAACTTGCATCCCATTTCAGAACAAAGTTTTACTGGTAACCTGCACAAGTGCATTTTCTCTTCCCATCTTATCCCCACAATCAGACAACAGACAGAGCATTAGGGTCTACAGGCGCACACGGCCTGCGCAGGACAATGAGCTGGAGAACCCTCCAAACCAGGAGCATGCAAGGGCACGAACCGCAGAAGCCCCCTCCCAACCCACCTGGACTTTAACATTGCCACCCGGAAGCTCCCGGGCCTCCAGCGCCTCCCGGACCCTCAGCCTCGCCACTGGCGTGCGCTTGGGACATGGAGCCGAAGAACATCGGCGAAGGGCCCGGAGCAGGCCCTGGACACCAAACATGGCCGGTCGCACCTGCCCCTCCTGACGCTAGCTGGGCCCTGCCCCTCTGGACAGCATCTGAGGCTGCTTTCAGGGCTGTGACCTTGCCCCTAAGGCCTGCTCAGCCGGCCACCTCTGCCCCTGGCACTCGCTCGCCTGCCCTGGAGGCCTTCTAGGGCCGGGAAGTGGCTCCTCCTTGCTCTTGGCCTTGCCTGTGCCCACAGCCCTGCTTCCTGCAGGCACCTGGGGGGGGCCCACCTACCCCTGCCCCCTATGCCCTGCCTCAGCTGCCCCTACCCTTTAGGCCCTGCCCCCACCAGCAGGGCCCAGCTACAACCCCCCAACCAGAGCCACTGCAAGCTCCATGTGGCAGCAAAGCAATCCCTTCCGCATCCCGCTCACGTGACCCGCGCACAATCAATGGACGCTTGCGGGCGGCCGAGGGAGCCAATCGAGAGGCGCGGTTCTACCCGGAAGCGCCTTCTGTGCGCGCAAAGCGCCCTGGGAAATGTAGTCCCTACCTCCGAGCCTTCCAGGGCCTGTTGCGCGTTATGCAAATATACCTCCTCCCCCCATGCACTAGATAGCGCGATATGTAAACGTATCGCATTGCAGGCGAATTTATGGCGGGATAGGCAATTTATTGTTCGCTGTTCAAATGGCTCAGGACACGGGGGTTATTGCACGGCAGGCAATAAACGGGGTGTCCTGATCCATTTGAACAGCGGGCAGTAAACTTGCCTATCGCGCCATAAATCTGTGTGCCATATGATACATTTACTTGCTATGCAAATCGCACGTGCCTATTTGCACGTGATTTGTATGCACCCAACCCTGCTTGCTGACAGGGGGTGGGGAGCAGGCGGATGCCCTTGCCGGCTGGGTGCCAGCCCCGCTCTGCGCCGGGTGCCTCTGTACCCCAGGGCGCGTCAGGCCCGTGTCGGGGGCTGCGTATGCCAGCTCCTTGCAGGGGACACAACATGGACCATGAGATGTCAGATAGGACTCTGTAGTGGGAGAAATGAGTGGGCCAGCTCACCGCGTGGGGCTGCCTGAGCTCTGTGCCACGCAAGAATTGCCCCGGGAGTTAAGAAAGGGGGGGAAAGCTTGGAGCTGGCACTTTCTAGCAGGGTCTTGGGTGTAACGAGGGTGACCTGTAGACTGCAAAGTCTGAGGACCACTGGTCTAAGCCACTGGTTTTGTGGCTGGGGAGGCGAGACTGAGCTCTCTTAACTCTTCCGCCGGGCTCCACCCTGTACCGTCTTCCTCATGTCCTCTCATCCCCTCTGTGACTCCTCCCTCCACCATCTCTTCTCTCCACCTCAGCACAAACACGCCTTGCTCTGGAAATCCCACTGCTGACCACTTGTAAGCGCTGCCCCATCTCTCCTCCCTCCCTTCTTTAAGCTCCTTGAACAGGCCCGGAGTAGTTCCCCAATAAGACCTTTGAAGTGACTTCATTGCCGTCTTCCAAATCCCTCCTTAGAGCTCTTCTTTGCCGTGACACCTCCCAAAATCTTGATTGCGGCTGGGCGGCTGACACACTGGTATGCTTCTCATGCGACCCACGCTGTCTCATTGGTTCCCCCGCTCCCCCTGGCCTTCTGCATCTAGCTTGTTTGTTCTCCTATCTTATTCTTGGACCGGAAGCTGTTTGGGTCTTGAACTATCTTTTTTTGGTCTGTGTTTGTACAGCGCCTAGCACAGTAGCCTCAAACTCATCAGCTCTAGAAATGCAGACAACAGCAACAGCAGGAGTCGAGACTCTCAGGTCCTATTCCTACAACAACCTTCTGAGTGTTTTGGGCAGAGATATTTCCCTCTCTGTGCCTCAGTTTCCCCTAGATTACAACAGAGACCATAGTCCTGACCCTCAGTCAGGATTGTGCCCCTGGCATGAAAGGCAGCTCTTAAAGGTCAAGGGGTTTTTAGGCATGAGAAGACTCCCCATGTGTCCTAGCTGCTTTGCTCCTGCCCTTCTGTCATCACCGGCTACTTCCTGGCACCTGGGTCTACCATCTCTGATGCTGCTGTCTGGCCTCCTGGCTGCCGAATCCCCTACCCTATGTATCTTATTTGGGGATGGAGGTGTTAGTTTTTAGGTTAGACATTATTCCTCACATTCCCAATCTTCTACCTCTCTGAGCAGCTGCCACTTCTGGTTAAAACCTTGCAGGTAGAAAATGTGGAGTGGGAGCTCTGATAGAGGTCACATGCTTCCTCCCCACCTGCAGAGGTAGAAAAATATATGGGACAAAGATCTCATCTCTTGGAAACAAATCCTCTGTCCCCCTTCCCTCCCTTGTCCAAATATACTCTATCATAGCTTTATCTTAAAATGTTAGTGGTAGTGATTGATGTAACCAAATATATTAGATGCTTTTTGGCTATCATAGATACATTGCTGTTAAAATTCTTAGATAAGATGTAAAAACAAAACACCCGTGTCAGAGAAGACCATAAACTAAGGTGAAGAAGAACCTGGACGGTGTTGAGCACCATTCCACAATGGCAAAAGAAAGGAGATAAGAAACGCTCCCTTTTACTTTCCCAAAGACATAAATCCCAACTAACTGACACCTTCCACATTCACAAGAGATCTGGTTCAGTCCAGTCCCTGAGCTTCAGTGAAACCAAGACATTTAAATAAAGCCAATCAGAGAGCATTTATTAGAATAAGCTATAAATACAGGGTAGAGGCTGGAGGGGAATTTGGAGAACTCAACAAATTCAAGAAGCCTTAGGGTCATCCTGCAAACCACATCCTTCTCCCTCTCTCCCCAGCCTGGTATAGGTATGTGTTGTCCGTGCTGTGCTGTCAGGGGTAGCCTGATGGGCTTTGGGATAATTGTTTTTGTGTTTTGGGGTATAAGCTGTAAAAGGCGAAGCTGCAGATTTGTTTCTTGACTCTTTTACAGTAGCCATCCTGCAAGGTTACCTATAATCCAGGTAGCAGTGCTTTTACTCCCCTTTCATGCCACCTGGAATATGCTGCTTCTTCAAGCTTCTTGGCTATCAGAGGCCCTCTCTCCACCTCAGCAATTGTTTCCAATTTATAGATACCCCCACCTGTTGCAGGAGGCTGAAGGCTTTGAGTTTCTCTTGAAAAACTAACCTGGAGAAAAAGAAGTCTGGGGAGGGGGAAATGAAGATAAACCATGCAAGGGCAAAGCAAAAGGGTAGGAGGTGGTAGTGGGGGATAGGCAGGTGAGATACGATGGTGAGTCCTTGACATGGGCCTGTCTCCCTTCAGACTACTTCCTGCATGTCACAAAACAGCTGGCATGGAGCAGTTGCTCAGGCTGGCAGGAGACAGTGACATCTGACAGCCCTGTGCTGGTCTGTGGTTTGTGAAAAGCTCAGCCGGCCCAAGATCAAAGCTCAGAATAGCTGGAGGGAGAGGCTGGACTGTGTATTGTTGGCTGTGGAGAGATTATGTAGCTATAGATGAGAATGAATATGTGATGGATGAATGGGGAAGGAGAGGGTGTGCCAGGACACAGAGCAGGGTGCAGCACACCGTGGCGTGGCTGTGTCCCTGCAGTGCAGATAGGGTGCAAGTGCTACGTGTAGATGTCTGGTCCCAGTGCAACTCTGTGGAGGCTGGAAGCTGCCCACGTGCCACAGTCAGGGAGCAGAGGGCTGGGAGAAGTGGTGGCAGCACTGGGACCAGACATCAGCAGATTGCCACCTCTCTGCCTGCCTGCACCCCAGGGACATGGCCACGCTGTAGTCCTGGGCACCCAATGACGTGCTCTGCTCCCCACTACTCTTCACGCATAGTGTGCCGCCCTGCTGGTCAGGTGGGTGCAGGTCCCCCCCCTTCACTCCCCTTTCCTCCCTTCCTGAGTCCTTTCGCCCAGCCTCCAGCCCTGCCATGCTGAGCTCCAGGGGGTGTCACCAAGTAATGTCCCTGCACCCCCCTCCCTGCTCCAGCTGTGCCTGCACCCTGCAACTTCCCAGGGCTGTGTGAAGTTGGTGTATGACCCCCTGCACCCGCTCCCCAGGCACACACTGTAGCATCTCTGTGTGACCTGTCAGAGGGGCTGCTGCCTTGGTTCTGCGTGACACCACCCCACCTGAGGAGGGCTTTCCCTGTGCCATGGTGTCACTCCCCAGCTGCCATGTGCATGCACCTTCCAACCACTGGGGAGCTGCGCTGGCACCGGACATCTGCACCCCACGTTCTCGTTGCCACGGCCACTTTTCCCAGCTCCCCTTTTTGGGCGAGAGTACAGTGTCCTGCCAATTTTAATTCAGAAAAAAAGTGCGCCCTGCGTATTAAAGCTCTGGAAAACATTGCCTTTATGCTGGAGAAGGTACCAGGAGCATTTTAAATCTGGGAGTCAGTAAGAGACCCAGGCATATGCAGCTGACTTGAGCCCATGGGTTTCTCTCTGCAACACACTCACCTCTCAGAGCTGCCAACTCTAGGATGTCGAGGGAGGTCTTTAGACCTTGCCAGCCTGCTGCACAACGTGCACGGCACAGTCATGGCTTCTCACAAGCCTCTGAGCAAGGCCCAGAGACATCATCGCAGGAAGTGGGCCAGAGCCACAATTACAGCATCCCAAGGCACTATGCTGGCTCTTCCGCAGCAACTGCACTTGACCCTGTGCAACTTGCAGGGTTGGTCTCACTGAAGTATGCAGCTAGAAGAGAGATGCTGAAATTGCTCCTGCCTGGTTACTACTGATGTGGCCTGGTCTAGATGCTGACTGGGTTGTTGGCTGGGGACTGCCCAATGTTAGTGTTAGGCAACTTCCTCAGGCTCTTGTGGCTGGGGTTTTGTAGAGAACTTCCTCCTCTGAAGGGCTTGAGTGAGACCTTGCCACTCTCAGCAGTGCTCTCTGTCACTTCCCCCTCCTGAGAAGAGATGGTTTCTGCAGGGATAGCTGGGGCCAGCTGCACTGGGGCTCTGATAGTGATAATAGCACTGCGCTTTGACAAAGCTCATTGCACCGAACCTCCAGGTGAGCCAAGCTGCTAGTGCTGGGACGAGCTTTCCTGCTGCCCAGCTCTGAGCTTAGGGCTGGAACTTCATTTATGCAGGAATCAGTGCAAGGGGCTAGAAACCCAAGGTGGGATGAGAGCATTCAAGGCTGGGCAAGGCCCCAGCAGAGGCGGGTGGGACGGGTTTGCGATGCGCTCCCCAGGCCCCAGCAGAGGTGGGTGGGACAGGTTCGTGATCTTCTCCCTGTCTCCTCTCAGAGCACTTCCTGCTGCAGGAGAATCACGAGTGTCACTACGTGAATGGCACGCAGCAGGCGAGGTACGTGGAG